TTCACTAGAAAGGAGAATTTTAATTCTAGCCTGGCTCTAAAAGGATGAACAAAATGACACTATGGTAGAAATCCTGTTCCTTAATACTGTAAGTGGGCCTATTCTAGTTGTGCTTGCAGAAGAGTTCAGTGGTTGAGGTATCTGGCTGCAGAACCAAAGGTTGGGAGTTCAATCCCCCACCTGAAACTCTTGGAAGAAGAGCCAGCCTATATAGCCATGGGCATATAGAGTTAACACTAAGAGTTATCATGAAGGATCAAGAGTAGGTGGAGGACTTGGCTAGGGAGAATGGAAACTCTGTGACCCTAGGAGATGGGGATAAAAAAGAGAGGATATTTGGGGTGATGCTGTAGAGGTCCTGGAAAAGGGGTCTGACCTTTTGGAAACTGAAACTCCAGAAAGGTCTGAGACCTCAGAAAACTGGGTATATACTGTATAATCAAAGAGGAACCCTGGACTGCAGAGTTAGTCACATTGTGCCCAAAGAAGAAGCACAGCATTCCCAACCTCCTTTGAAAACCTACTACTGGGGAGAGAGGGAATGACAAAAAAGCTGATAATGTGCTCACGGGTTAGCCTCTTGTGAGTCTCAATTTGACCACAACAAACCCTATATAATAAGTCTTGGTAGCCATGCTGATAAACGTTGACATGAAAACCAAGATGGACTTCCTGATTTAGACGTTTAAAACACCGTGGAATGAATCCAAAGGAACACTTTTCCATGCAGAAGGCATCTGTTGCTCATGGAAGGAAGGCTTTTTGGACACAGTACGCCAGATTGCTGAGGACAAAAACAAAGCTAAATCCAAATAGGCTCTTGATCTCACAACAAGAAATAGTGCAAGATCTAGGACAAGCATGAGATTTGATATAAGCCTATATACTATAACACCGGGTGAACTCTTTCACAGACCCTTGTATATGCATTAGTGGAAGATCGTCAGCACCTGCTACTCTCTTGCTGCTCATGTTTGCCTGGATTCAACACATAGGAAGGAGTGCCAATAGAAAATCTCTTTAATCCTAAACAAAACACACCTTGCTCAATGGTAACCCATTTTTTACACTCACTGTTAATTAGGTTACTAGGGATGTGCAGAAACCCCCATCCAGCTAGGAAAAGATGCACAGATTGGGGTTTCCCTGCCCTGTAGCATTTTGGAGACCCTCCAACACAATCCTTATCCAGTTCCATGATAGTGTTTGTGTGTTTTAGGTTCCTTGTAAGGACCCAATTCCTGTAATGACTTTGTAGCAAGAAACACAAGGAACGTTCGTTTCTAAGGTGAACAACATATGTTCCTTTCTCATCCAGAGTTTTTCTTTGTGTTTCTCCATTTCCAATAACAATATTGGATGCCAGATTTGACATGAAGAATCTATGAGTGTGCTACTCCATCCCATTAAGGTCTCTGGCATCTTTGCTCACCCCATGACAGTTTCAAAAAAACACAAATATGACTAATTTGGTTCATTTTTACACATTTGTCTGAAGACACTGCACATGTCTGAAGACACTGCACATATTCCTCAGATCAACCCTCCAATCTGTCACAAGCCTTTAATAACAACAACAACAACAACAAACAACAACAACAACAACATGCCAACAAGTCAATTTTAACCTATGGTTACCCTTTCCATGGTTTTTAGGTAACGAATACTCAGAAATGGTTTACCAATCCCTTCTTCTGGGACTACTGTGCAGTTTGCCCATGGATACATAGGCTGGCTCTCTTCTCTGGAGGCACAGTGAAGAATCAAACTCTCAAACTCTTGAGTTATAGACAAATTAAAAAGCTGGCCACAAAATAATGACCAGGTATTCACAGTCCTCCCCTTCACAGATTGCTGCCTTGTCGTGGCGAAGGGGCTTGAGTAACTCAGAGAAGTTATGGGCTATGCTGTGCAGGGCCACCGATAAATAGCAGGGCTGTAATTAGGATGAAGCTCTTCATGCCTTGTTGTGGTGAAGGGGCTTGAGTAACTCAGAGAAGCTATGGGCTATGTCGTGCAGGGACACCCAAGACAGACAGGTCATAGTGGAGAGTTCTGACTGGATGCAATCCACCTGGAGTAGGAATTGGCAAGCCACTCCAGTATCTTTGCCAAGAATACTCCATGAACAGAAACAAAAGGCTAAAAGATATGATGCTGGAAGATGGCTCCTCAGGTCGGAAGGCGTCCAACATGCTACTAAGGAAGAGGGGAGGACAAATAGCTCCAGAGCTAATGAAGTGGTTGGACCAAAGCCAAAAGGACACTCAGGTGCGGAGGTGCCTGGAAGTGAAAGGAAAGTCCGATGCTGCAAAGAAAAATACTGCATAGGAACCTGGAATGTAAGATCTATGAACCTTGGTAAGCTGGATGTGGTCAAACAGGATATGGCAAGAATAAACATTGACATCCTGGGTGTCAGTGAACTAAAATGGACAGGAATGGGCGAATTCAATTCAGATGATTATCATATCTATTATTGTGGGCAAGAATCCCGTAGAAGGAATGGAGTAGCCCT